TTTTTAATATTCTATTTTTTTTTTTATTTTATGTGTATGAGCGTATTGCCTGCATGTATGTGAGTGCACCCGTGTCGTGCAATGCCGCAGAGGTCAGAAGAGGGCTTCGGATTCCCCTGGAACTGGAGTTAAGGACGGTTCGTAGCCACCATGTGGGTGCTGGGAATTGAACCCGGGTCCTCTGCAAGAGCAGCATCAGTGCTCTTAACTGCTGAGCCATTTCTCCAGCTCCTCAAGTGCTGGGTCGCAGGGAGGAAGGAGCCTTCAGACCTGGCTTGACATATGGTCAGTTTAGAAAATGCTGTTGATTATAAAGGGAAGAAAATAAACAGATCATCTGAAACCTAGAGCCTAGGGATGAGGACTCTGGCACTTTGAACTTTCTGTAAAATGCTCTCCAGCTTCCTCCCTCTAATCATACCCATAATGTACATATTTACCTTTAGTAGATACACATGAAAATAAGCAGTGCTTTGCTGCTGTTTGAGGTAGGGCTTCATGTGGCCTCGACAGGCCTTAAACCTGCTGTGTAGCCGTGATCTCCTGGCCTCCTGCCTTACCCCTCTGGAGTGCTGAGGTTACTGGTATACACCACCGTGCTACTTCTGCAGTGCTAGAGGTGGAACCCAGGCCCTCTTGGGCATTCTAGGAAAGCAAGAATTCTACCATGAAGCCATGTCCCCAGCCTGGTTTTTGTTCTCTTGAGACAGGGTCTTATGGAGCTCAGGCTGGCCTGGAACTCACGATAAGTAACTTCTCAATGTCACTGCTGGCTGCAGTGGATTACATTGGGATTTCATGCATTTGTACCTATACATTTAGACTACTGGGACTACATGGCGTGCTTTTAAATTTGGCTTTCCCCCGTCCTGTTATGTCTTTTACTGACGTTTGGCACAGATCCACCTAATTTAGTTTTTTTTTTTAAACTGTTTTAAAAAAGTTCTTGGGATACTATGCCAGCTAGACTTTATCCATATAATGATCCTTTTATACTTTTTGATTATGTAACTGCACATTTTTATTATTACTGTATGTGTGTCTAATCTGTTGTGAGGGTGTGCATGCAGAGGTCAGAGGTCAGAGGTCAGAGGCAGCTTTGTGGAGTGGGCTCGCCTTCCATATTTATGTGGGTTTCTGGAGTTCAACTCAGGTTTCATGGCTTGGGTGGCAAGTGCCTTTAACTCTGAGCCATCTTTTTTTTTATTTTTTATTTTATGTGTAAGAGTATTTTGCCTGTATGTATGTAAGTGCATCTGTGTCATGCAATGCCCATGGAGGGCAGAAGATGGTGTTGGATCTCCTGAAACTGGAGTTATGGACAGTTGTTAGCTATCATGTAGGTGCTGGGACCCAAACCCACAGAACAGCCAGTGCTTTAAACCACTGAGCTCTCTCTCCAGCTCCTCCAAACAGTCAAATCAACTTAGGACCTAAACCAAACCAATAGCTCCATGTTTTTCTTCACCCCCTACTTTTTTGACACTAGGTTTATTTAAAAATCTCTGCCTCTGCCAGTCTTCTCTGTCACCCCTGTGAGCTTAAATATTCTCCACAGACTCATTTGCCTTTTGTGTTTACTTGAGAATGGCCAGCTTTTGCCCCTCACACTGCCCATTTGGGGGGTGCTTATATGTTGTCTACAGTACAGTAAAGGCTTCTTAGGGATCCGTTTCTTGTGGTTCTTTACTCTAGTTAGAATCCTTGTCTTTCTGAGATGTTATTATATGCCCTGCAGTCAGTTCCTGGCCCAGACCTCTTCTGGGACAAGTTCTGTCTTGATCATTTAAAAGATTTCTTAGGCTCTGGGCATGGTGGCTCATATCTAATCCTAACACTTGAGAGGGAGAGGCAGGAGGGTTAAGAGTCCCTTCCTTGGCTACCCAGCCAGTTCAAGGCCAGCCTGGCTCAATCACAGGTGTCTCTTAAGAACTGAATTAATTGGTATCATGGGCAGAGCTCAACGAGGATCGTGGCACACAGGACGTCCTCTTTTTCTGCTGGCTCTTGATGACATGTCAATCGCTGTCCATTTTCTGCATCCCCCTGTACCCAGACAGAAGTCCTGGATACATACAGCTGCCCAGGACTCCTCCAGGCTGGGCCATTGCGTTTTCTTTAGCTGTTACCCAGTAGAGGGAGGTAAAGCCCTGTTGCACAAGAACAGAATTTGTCCCAAATGGGGGAGACAGAATGCTGCCAGACTCTATCAGTGTGGCACAAAAGGCATTTCTCTGCTCTCTTTGTTGAATCTGGAGTGTCTCCAGTCCCAGGACAGGTCACTGCCACTCTATTCCTGCATCCCCTGCAAAACTCAGGTCTCCAAGAATGCCCATGTTTGCAGTGCGTTTGGAAGCAGAAAGCAGGCCAATCCTGCCTTCTGCCCTGAGCTTGCTTTCCCTGACTTCTCCTGGAGCTTAGACTGGGCTGGAACTCCTTATGTAACTGAGGATGACCTTGAGCTCCTGATCATCCTTCCTTCATCTCCCCTAAGGGCTGGGATTGCACACTCCACCCCTCACTCCCCTTAAGTTTCTTTCTGTTGTGCCCGGGTGCCACCCAAGGGCACCATGCATGCCGCCACCGAGCCCCCCTTGAAGTCTCCACAGTGGATTTTGCTCCTAATCATCCTTCCTATTTCTTTGCCACCTCTTGTAAGTTTGAACCAAATTAGTGCTTTTGGTCTTTGTGCCCCCCGGATGCGATGCACAAACTGGCCTCAGGTCCCCTCGTCCCCTTTCCCGGTATTTCTGGTGAGTTTGGGGTTTCATTCTTTTCTTGTTTCTCAATGATTGGATGAAAACTCCTCTGACTGCTGTGTGAGGAGAAAAGATGCCCAGGGCCCTCAGATGCGCAGCCGATCCATGTTAGGGCTTAGCCCTGCCCAGCGGACCCCTGAGGGGAGCTGCCCAACCCTAAGCAATGTGTGATGTCTATGCTTCCACCTGTGGTGGAGGCAGTTTTTAAATGTTGACTGCTACAGGTCCCGAGAGCCACCAGCTTCCCCTTCTGACTGGTCTTCCTTCCACTTCCTGCCTATGGGCCTGGCTTTCCCATCTCTGAGAACTGTGTATTGTTACTTTACACACTCAGATTTTTTTTTCCTTTTTTTGAGATAGTCTTCTGTATGCCAGCCAGGCTTGCCCCAGGTTCATTGTCACTCCTGACCCTACCCTTCACTGCCTGGAGCGTATCATGCATGGATTTGTGTGGTGTGTGCACATGTGTGTATGCCCATGTGCATGTGTCTACATGTGTGTGGAGGCCAGAGGTCAGTATTGCGTGGCTTATTTGCCTTCTGCTTTACTTTTTTTTTTCTCATTACAGCTTTAACATATTCAGTAACACATTCCAGAACAAAGATACATCTCTTTCAAAGGTGGCTGTGAATTTTTAGGTTCACAGTTGAATTAATACATTCATACAATATTGGATTCAGTATAAACCCTGTAAGACATAAAATCGAATGAGTTTTTACCCTTTAAAGAAGATCTTCATTTCATTTTACAATAGGCTGTTTCCTACATTTTTAGTGTTACTAACACTTACATGTTTGCATATGTGTCTTTAATCTCTATGTATCTGATTATTACTAGTCACAGTTGGTTACACTCAGATCCTTAGTACCTGAGTATGGATATAAAGTGATCAGGTAGATTTCACTGGCAATGTTTATCACCTCTTCTATTTAACATGAAGTAAATTTAAAAATTTTTTTAAATAACTACATGATTAGAAGAAGCATTTTACTACAGCTTTAACATATTCAGTAACAGTTTCCAGAGCAAAGATAC